CCCCAGACCTTTTTTCCTCCTTAAAATCCCATCAAAATCCCCTAAAATCCCATAATTTTAATTATTTTCATCCCAGACCTTTTCCCCCCTTTAAATCCTTTAGAATTCCTTTAAAATCCCATCAAATTCCCCTAAAATCCCATCAAGTCCCTTCAATTTTAATGATTTTAACCCCAGACCTTTCTTCCCCCTTAAAATCCCTTCCAAATCCCCTTAAAATCCCTAAAAATTCCTTCCACTCTCCTCAAAACCCTTTCAAAACCCCTTAAAACCTTAAAACCCCTTAAAAACCCCTTTCAAACCTCCCAAAACCCCTTTCAAACCCCTTAAAAACCCCTTTCAAACCTCCCAAAACCCCTTTCAAACCCCTTAAAAACCCCTTTCAAACCTCCCAAAACCCCTTTCAAACCCCTTAAAAATCCCTTAAAACTAAAAACCCTTTAAAAACCCCTTTCAAACCCCTTTCAAACCCCTTAAAAATCCCTTAAAACTAAAAACCCTTTAAAAACCCCTTTCAAACCTCCTCAAACCCCTTAAAAACCCCTTTCAAACCCCTTTAAAACCCCTTCAAACCCTTTCAAACCCCCTTAAAAGCCTTTAAAAATTCCTTAAAACCCCTTTCAAACCCCTTTTAATCCCTTTAAGCCCCTTTCAAACCCTTCCAAACCCCTTAAAACCCCTTTTAACTCCTTTCAATCCCCTTTTAACCCCTTCTAACCCCATTCCCCCCAAACCCCCTTGTCCCTCTGCCCCCCAGGCCGTGCCCGTCCCCCCGAGCTCCGACCCCGTCCTGGCCTTGGCCGCGCCCGGCTCTCAGCCCAAGGTACCGAACCCCCAGAAACCCCCAGAACCCCCCAATAACCCCCCAAAATCCCCAAGAAAATCCTGAGAAAATCCCAAAAAAACCCCAAAAGAAACCACGAGACAATGCTGAGAAAATCCCAAAATAAACCCCAAAAAAACCTCCAAAAAAAACCCAAAAAAACCCAAAAGAAAGCCCAAAAATCAAAAAAAAAAACCCAAAAAATTGACAAAACAAAGCTCAAAAAATTTCCAAAAATACCTCAAAAAATGGCCAAAACAAACCCCGAGAAAATCCCTTAAAAATTCCCCCCCCAAAAAACCAAAAACAAAGCTCAAACAATCTCAAAAAAACCCCAAAACAAACCCCGAGAAAATCCCAAAAAAAAACCCCAAAAAATCCCAAAGAAACCACGAGAAAATGCTCAAAAAATCTCCCAAAAAACAACCCCAAAAAATCTCAAAAAATCCCTCCAAAAATAAAAAAAAAGAAAAAAATCAAACCCCCCCCCAAAAATGGACAAAACAAAGCTCAAAAAATCTCCAAAAAAACCCCCAAAAAATCAAAAATAAAACCAAAAAAATGGACAAAGCAAACCCCAAGAAAATCCCCAAAAAAATCACCAAAACCCCCCCAACAAATAAAAAAAAACCCAAAAAAATAGCCAAAACTAACCCGAACAAATCTCAGAAAAACCCCAAAAATAATAAAAAATACCCCCAGAAAATCCCCTCCAAAAAAAAACCCAATCCACAAAAAATCCTCAAAGAATCCCCAAAAAACCAATAAATCCCCCCAAAAATCCCCAAAAACACCCCAAAAAATCCCCAAAAACAATCTCCAAAACTTCAAAAATAAATCCTCCAAAAATATTAAAAACAAAACCCAAAAAATCCCAAAAAATTCCCCCCAAAAATCTTTAAATCCTTCCCAACAAAAACACCCCAAAAAATCCCCAAAAACAATCTCCAAAACTTCAAAAATAAATCCTCCAAAAATCCCCAAAAATATTAAAAAAAAAAACCCAAAAAATTCCCCCCAAAAATCTTTAAATCCTTCCCAAACCCCCCTTGGTTTTCGCTTCATTTTCACCCCAATTTCGTTTTTCTTTTGTTTTATTCCCCCTTTTTTGGCCATTTTTGGGAGGTTTTTTGGGATTTTTTTAAAGAGATTTTGGGGTTTTCACCTCCCCGTGAAGGATTTGGGGCCAATCCCCTCAGTTTTGGGGTTTTTTTGCCTCCCCCTGCCCAGAGCAGCCCCCGGAGCCCCCCGGAGTCGCTCCTGCCTTAACGGCTGCTCTGGGGCCAAAATTGGGGGTTCAGCCCCAAAATTGGGGTTCAGCCCCAATTCCAGCCCCCCCACACCTTTTTTTGGGGTCCATTCCCATTTTTTCCCCACTTTTGGGGTTTTTCCCTTGTTTTGGGGTTGGGTCTCCCCATTTTTTTGGGGCTTTCCTCCTTTTTTTGGGATTTCTCTCCCTTTTTTGGGAGTTTCTCTCATTTTTTGGGGTTTTTTCTCCCTTTTTTGGGGGGTTTCTCTAATTTTTTTGGGGTCCATTCCCATTTTTTGGGGTCCCTTCCCATTTTTTTTAGGATTTCTCTCCCTTTTTTGGGAGTTTCTCTCATTTTTTGGGGTTTCTCTCCCTTTTTTTGGGGGTTTCTCTCATTTTTTGGGGGCCATTCCCATTTTTTGGGGTCCCTTCCCATTTTTTTTAGGATTTCTCTCCCTTTTTTGGGGTCCAATCCCATTTTTTGGGGTCCCTTCCCATTTTTTTTAGGATTTCTCTCCCTTTTTTGGGGTCCAATCCTCTCTTTGAACATTTCACTGCTGGTTTTTTGTGCCGATTTTATTTTTTTTTGTGTTTTCCCCATTTTTTAACTGGAGCCGCCGCCGTTTCGCGCTTCGTTTTTGGGGTAAAATCCCCCTTTTTACTGCAACGCTTTTTTATTTCGAACCAGCCCAACCTTTCCTCCTTCCCCTGCTTTCTGCGGGGATTTTCCCAATTTTTCAGGTTTTTCCCCCAGTTTTTCTGTCTGGTTGTGCTGTAAGGGGGGGTCGGGGGAATTTCCCCCCAGAATTTGCCCCAAATTCGCAGCGGGGCTTCGGGGCCCAGCGCAGGCCCCGCCCACTCCCGTCTCTGGCTCCGCCCACTCCCGGCTGGGACCCCGCCCCTGCCGTGTCACGTGGGCGGTCACGTGGCGCCCAAGATGGCGGCGCCCATGGCGGCGGCCGGCGGCGGCTCCGTGACGCGGCTGCTCCGGGGCGTCTCCCGCAGCCTCAGCGGCGCCGGGGCCGCGGCCGAGGAGCCCGAGGCCGCCGTGTGGGTACCGGGAGCGCCCTCGGGGCCGGCGGAGCGGGAGCGGGCCCCGCGCTGAGCCCGGTGTCCTGTCCCCCCCAGGGTTAACGTCGTGTTCGTGGACCGGGACGGGCGGCAGGTGCCGGTGCGCGGCAGAGTCGGTGACAACGTGCTGCACCTGGCGCAGCGGCACGGGCTGGAGCTGGAGGGTCGGGACCGGGGACGGGATGGGAACGGGGCTGGGAACGGGACCGGGATGGGAACGGGACCGGGACCGGGGCTGGGACCGGGAACGGGACTGCAAACGGGACCAGGAATGGGGCTGGAACGGGATTGGGACCGGGAACGGGGCTGGGAACGGTGCTGCCGGGGGCGGTCTCGGTGTTCCCGGGGCCGTTCCCGGTGCTCAGGGGGCGTTCCCCGGGGTGGTCCCGGTGCCCCCGGGCCGTTCCCGGTGCTCACGGGGCCGTTCCCGGTGCCCGCAGGCGCCTGCGAGGCCTCCCTGGCCTGCTCCACCTGCCACGTTTACGTCAGCGAGCCGCACCTGGGCCGGCTCCCGGCGCCGGACGAGCGGTAAGGGCCCCCCGGGACCCCCCCGGGACCCCCCTGGGTACCACCCCCGGTGCCCCCCCGGTGCCCCCGGTGCCCCGGTGACGGCCGTGCCCGCAGGGAGGAGGACCTGCTGGACCAGGCGCCGCTGCTGCGCGAGAACTCGCGGCTGGGCTGCCAGCTGCGCCTGGGCCCCGCCCTGGAGGGCGCGCGCATCGCCCTGCCCCGGCAGACACGCAACTTCTACGTGGACGGGCACGTCCCAAAGCCCCACTGACCCCAAAACCCAAACCCACTGACCCTGAGACCGCACTGACCCTAAAACCAAAACCCACTGACCCCAAAATCCCACTGACCCCAAAAACCCAAACCCACTGACCCTGAGACCACACTGACCCTAAAACCCAAACCCACTGACCCCAAAGCCCCACTGACCCTGAAACCACACTGACCCTAAAACCAAAACCCACTGACCCCAAAATCCCACTGACTCCAAACCCAGTGAGCCCGGGGGGGCGTGTCCCCAAACCACACTGACCCAAACCCACTGACCCCAAAACCAAAATCGCATTGATCCCAAAATCCCACTGACCCCAGAAACTAGTGACCCTGAAACCCCAAACCCCAAAAACCCACTGACCCCAAACCACGCTGACCCCAAAACCCAGTGACCCTGGGGGCCACTTCCCAAAACCCCACTGACCCCAAAACCAAACCCACTGACCCCAAAGCCCACTGACCTCCCCCAGGGGACCCCAAACTCCCAAACCACCCTGACCCTAAAAACCCAAACCCACTGACCCCAAACCCACTGACCCTAAAACCCAAACCCACTGACCCTGAGACCACGCTGACCCTAAAACCAAACCCACTGACCCCAAACCCACTGACCCTAAAACCCAAACCCACTGACCCTGAGACCACGCTGACCCTAAAACCAAACCCACTGACCCCAAACCCACTGACCCTAAAACCCAAAACCCCAAATCCGCTGAGCCTGAACCACACTGACCTCAAAACCCAGTGACCCCAAACCCAGTGACCCCCAAAACCCCAGACCCCCCTGACCCCAAAGCCCCCT